TCAGAAGACATCATCCATGTACCTCACTAGTGTATAGCACATTACAATGTGGTCCAACACAAGCACTAAAATTCAGCAGAATGTCTTCACATTCCTGTATTTTCTTGAATCTCCCAGTCTTCTTCAATTGCATTTTTGGTTTTGGTTTTGGTTTTGGTTTTGTGGGTTTTTTTTTAAATCACAGCAAAAACAGCAACGTGAAGAATGCTTTTCCTGGATCAGGACTCTAAGGAAAGCTGTTCTTTTACTGTTTAATATGAAAGTAAGCTGTTCAGTGTAGAGTGTAATAGTCAGCTATGTTCCTATCCCTCCTTTAGGTATTATTCTTAATATCACAATATAGGAGGAGATATTTATGAAGATAGGATGGTTTCAACTGTTTTGAAAGCTTGATCCAAGATTGGCTTTAGTTGACGACATTCATGTCTAGAATAAAATCTAGTGGATAAATAAAATAGTTGCCCTGTACAAAAGGCTTGGCAAGCCATTCATCAAAATATGATAGAGATGCATTATATTCTCAGATACACCCACATAAATACAGAAAAAAAATTGTGTTTCAGTATGACTATTCATGTTATTCAATCTGGCCACCTGAATATGGCAAGTTAAAAAAATTTAATTCAAGTAATTACAAAAGCTGTGGCTGGTTCATTTTAACACATTCCAGCAGAACTTACTCTTGCCTGACACCAAAGCAGATGAAACCAAAATCTACTCTACAAAAGACTGCGTAAAGAAGAAGATTTTCAGCTAGAATATTGTGGAAATCAGGCTAAAAGGACACTGTTCAAAAAAAAGTTAGAAGAGAGAACTTCAGCTAGCAAAAAAAACACGAAAGGAGAAAAAAAAAAAAAAAGAAAAAAAACCCCAACCCAAACCAGCTCCATTCCACCGACTTCAGGGGAGCCATCCCAAATACCATCAGCCGGAAATCTGTCACTGTCATAAAAAGGGTTTAGTTTGCAGGCTACGTTTGCAGGCTACCATTGGTATATCTGGTACTTTCAGCTAAAATATACATCTTCTTACAGACTGTAACAAAAGAAACAACCAAAATTGAATTTTAACACAAGGCATCACTCCAGGTACGTGTCAAAGAATAAACGTGTCTCTGTTCTACCAGCTCTGTAAAAGGGAAAAAAAAGTTGCATGTAGCAAAAGTGTAGTCCTTGATACACTATGCTGCAGAAAGAGATGAACTACCAGAGGTACAAGTCCATAGAACAGTATAATTACTTCCTTTATAACTTTGCTCTTTTCTGATTATGTACATACATTTTAAAGGTCCTCCATCCTTCAAAAGGGCACGGGAGAAGAGGGGCTGGCTCTGTACAGCTGCTGGTAAGAAATCCTAATCTCAATATTGGTGTAAGCTAGAGGTGTCTATACATTTGAGCACTTCCTGTTTTCACTTCGTGATCAAATATGTTCTTTGCAGGGCAAATAGGGGAGCACTTGAGGGAGGAAAGTAGAGATGTCTGAGAGGCTAACTGAGTGTACTAAGGACTCCTTGGCATAGAGGAAAAGGAGTCTTCCAAAGCTATGAATAAACTCTTGGCTTGGGTCAGATTTCTTGCTGTTTCTTTTCTTTAACCACCTTTGAACTCAAATAAAAACAGCCTTAATGTCAGGTTTACCTTTCTGATGTTGTAATCTTTATGTACTATTGAAAAGCTTATACTACCAGACTAGGATTTCCTCTACTTTCTTAAACACTGGATATTATCCAGAAAAAGCACACACATTTCCAACCAATTCATCCTCAGATCTTTCATCTTCCTGTACTGTTGTAATTCCAAATGTAAGACAGAGCTCAGTAAGTGAACAAGAACATGACAGAAGCTCCTACTCCCTCCATTTGATTTCCAACAATAAAAACATGTATGTGTATCCTATTTCAAATATAATTAAAGTTACTGCAAAATGGAGGCTGCGATAAGGGTTAGAAATTGTTTTGAAAGACACAGCCTGTCAGATACATTCATTCTACGAGGGAGTTCAGGTGTCCAGCTCTTCAAAAAGCTGCTTAGGCAATGCAGTTTTTAAATCAACTACCGTAGGAGTTTGAGAATTGATTGAATAAAGGAAAAAAAAAGGTGTATTTTATTTAAAACCATAAGTAAATATAAGTAGTCAGAACTTAGTTTGAATTTAACTGTCTAAAGGAATTTCAAGTTTAATCCATGCCGTAAGACATGGAGTGCCACTGCCTCTCTGTCCAGGGAAACCAGAGGTTAATGATTTTTGTCATATTGAGACTAACAGCTAACAATTGCTACAGTTGGCCTTTAGTATTTTATTTGTCCTTTTGAGGTATTCAGAATAGGTGACAATAGATTGCAGTTGAGAACATATGTAGAGAGACCCCTGTGGCTTATGGAAAAGTTGCTCCATGCTGGTTGGGTGTTTGAAAAAAAATACAACCAGAGCTCTTTTATGTTCCTCTCCTTAATGAATGCATGAATGTCAAAATGTACCAATGGCCCATTCAGGGGGCAAAGCCTAAGCAGCTCCTTCTTTAAGAACACATCCTGAGATGTAAAATACATTTGCTTAACAAATTAAAATAATGAGATAATTCAATTAGTTTCTTTAAAAAAAAGGGGGGGAGAAAGAAAAAAGGGTACATCAGGGGATTATTGTAATACAAGAACAGGTCATACAGCACAAAGGAGGAACAAACCAATTTGAAATAAGGTTAGAGTAGTAATGAAGGAATGTACATTGAATCATGGACCACCATTGTAAAGATATTTACTTGAAACAATAAAATTGTACATCACAGATTCCCCCGTTCTGGCTCAGCCAGTGTTGCACTTTGAATGGACAAGCTAATTTGAGAAAAAGTGTGAAATCTTTAAAAGAAAGGAGTTCTCTTCCTTCCCTGCATGTGTTTATGGCAAGAATCTTTCTGAATTTACATTGCACTGGTCAGGGGTCTCCATCATCAGTTTGCAGGTCTGAGAATTACAGCACAGTAAATCTTTCAACACCTGCAAACTCATTAAAGCCTGGATGGTAAAAGGTTTGGGGCTTTTTTCTGTTCATTTAATTTGATTTTTGTGAGGCATCCTCACCAGCGATGGCAAATTTCCTCAGTTCATGCAGGATAGAGAGGGTCAGGAGAGAGAGGATGGAAATGAGGAAAAGGGATTTCAAAAAGCCAGGAAGACTTTCCTCAAGAGAAGAGAGATGCAGTTGACTGTTTAATAAGCATGTGTAAAATGCTTTTAGGGAGCATGCGAGAAAGGAAGGCAGGGAGAAAAAAAACAAGATATCGCAAATTTCATAAGAGGAAATGGAGTTAAACACAGAGACATGTACAAAACTCTTTCATTTGTGGACCTGCTTTTTGCTGTCTGCTTGTACTACTCCTATAAAGATACCCTACAGCTAAATGAAAAACCTTCCACTCACACTCACTCGACTTCCAAATTAAAAACATTTTACAGGTTAGTAAATCTCCAGCTGAGGTGATGTAGCAAAGAACAGCTGTGAAGTAATTTTGATAATGATGAGAATAATAAGCACATGGCAAGGTTCAGGGCTTTGCTGTTGCAGCTTCAGTGCTCCTGAATAGATAAAAGTGATTAAATACTCCTGATTATCCCTGACCAATATGTAATGGATTTACAGCCCTTTCAATTAGTCAGTATTTGCTTAGGACTCATTATTTTGTCTTTGGTTAAGTAATCAGCCCAGAGACTCATGTTCTGTCTAATTCCTCTGAGCCAAGTGGGTACAGGGCACCTGACCTTTGAAATGGCCATAGCTGGGAGGCAGGAATAACCACTACTCTGGCAAAGACAGTGGCTATTCCAGCTAATCCTGACCCCACAGGCCAGATCAATGCACCTTAGTTTGCTACTAATGTCCTTACATCAAAATGATGGTTTAGAAATGTGGATCTATCGCTCCCCCCTTTAGCTGTGCTGCTAGCAGAGCAGTTCGATAGTCCCTATCATAAATAAACCAGGTACCTTGTCCTGAAATCATTACACTGTAACCAACATCAGATACCATGGAAATTTAGAAAACTTTGGTAGAAGAAGAGGTAGTTAATAACAGTTAGTGTTTTAAGCCTTATCAAATGAGAAACAATTTTACAGTGAGAGGAAAAGGAAAATCAATTGATAATTTTACCCGTTTCCATTAGTTCCCGCATGAAGTAAAATACAAAGGGTGTTACTAGGTTTTCTGTGGAACCACGTTTTGATGCCTAAGTAAAGCTATAGTAGTCAACAGAACACCAACACATAAACCCAAATGCTAGCAGGAGGATAAAGATAGCCCATGGAAAGCATTGCTTTTTCACATACTTAATCTCTCTCCCCCAAACGCGAATATGGCTAGCTTTTAACATAATGGACTTGAAAGAAGGCTAAAAAAGTGCTTATTCTCCCTGTTACACAACTGAAGAGCTAGGCAACCTGTAAGGCTTCTATATTTCTCACAAAAAGCAACAACGAAAAGTTTGCAAGCTGCTGCTTTGACTCTAACATCCACAGTGTATGTCAGCACACAGACTGGGGCTCTCCCTTCCACCACATACACATGATTTTTGTGTAAACAGAGGCCAGCAGCAAAGAATCCAGAAGGCAGAGCTTTATATATGCTAAAGCAAGAAACCCCCTTTTTTGTCCATTGGAACATTTTGAGTGGTTCAAAGCAAAGAAGGGCTACTTAATATGTAGCTAAATATGCTAAAGCTTTGTACTCTCTCTTTTTCTCTCTCTATAGGCATGTATGTGGGTATATATATATATCTATATATATATATATATACACACACACACACACATATAAAAGTTTCTTTCAGATTTGTCATGATTCCAAGAGCCAAAAAAAAAGTAATCTAGAAGAAGAAGGCAAAAAAGGCAACAATTGAGCCCTAAAAATGGCCCAAAAATTATGGGGACAATTGATTTCTAATAACGAAGAATAAACTTCATTAGGCACATAAATAGAAATTGATTTTGGTTTTGGGCACCACTTACTGTGAGATGCTGGAAAAGCCACGCTCTCATGATATTTGTTGCTACTTTGGGGAAAATGCCTCTTTTCTTCTGACGCTTTTTGTCCTTGTCTGGATCATCGTCATCCCCTGTACCAGGTGAGGCTACACTGTTGTCTAAACCATCTCCTACAACAAAGAGAAAAACAGGAAGGAGGAGGTATTTAATGAACAAAATATAGAAGCCAAAAAGTATCATTACCAAGGCGCTACCATGTTTTATCTTGATTTGCTAGATCAGGCACATACAGTTTCTTATTACACATGAGTGCTGATACAAATACGTAAAAATTAGAAACCATGTCTCTCCAAATACTAATTTTGCATTTCACACATGCATATATCATTAATTCAATTATAATTGTGTGCTTGACATCATGCAATAGCTCTTTGTCAATTATGGGATTCAATGTGGGAAAACCTGCCACAAGAAAACTCATTCATTGTGAATGCATCCCTACAACCCTTCTGAATACGTACTATAAGTAATCAAGTTAAATGTTCTGTAGTCTATATATTCAAGGCCCTCTGCAGAGGTGGCAGTAACCATGTCACCGTTCAGTGCACATAACACTGTCAGATGAGCCCCTCCCTGTAACTACCACCTCCCAACACACATACATATGCACACACAAACACGTACACCTAGTATGACCCTGCATACAGTATTTGCATGACATGAAAACTTCTACATCTCTGCACCAGTGATTATTATCATTAAAAAAAAATATTCACATCAAGGTAGAGCTCTCACTTAATCAGAACTTTCCATCAACATCTTTCTCTTCTGTGCTTTTCCCTGGCATTAATTGTGCATTAGCAAAAATCATTTACTTTTAACAGTCATAGTTATTTTTTCTTGCCCTCCAGCAAAAATGCCTTGAAAGCCTGCCTGGAGGGCATCTAAATTATGTATCTGAAAAACTCTTCTGGCAAGGCATTGCAGGACCCCTACTTTCTTAAAATTCATACGAGCACGTCTTCCTGTTTTTGGGAAGGCATCAATCAAGAGCAGCAATATATGCCATATTCCTACATTAATATTTGAACTAATAACTTTAAAAAAAGGAAAGAAACAAGATCCGACTTGTGGCATAATCAAATGCAAAATAAATGAAGAATACTGGGACAGCACTGAGACTTTATAGATTGCTGTGTTTTCCTTACACATCATTAGCCCGGAGCCACACGAAAGAGGAAAACAGAGAAGTGGAGAGTTTATGCTCCCTGCTGGTGTTTAAGAAGCCGAGGTCCTGGAAGGACATCTGGGAATTGTGCTGAGACGGTGGTTTTTGTAATTTAAGAATAGACATTCATTAGCAGTAAATGCCATAAATCCCATGCTAAGTAAAAACCTTGTCCAAGAAAGCCTAAAACAATAAACTCTGTGCTCAATGTAGCCTGAGCTAGACGCTCCATAGCTTCCTGAAGAATGCTATAGATTCATGAGCTAATTCCTATAGCCTTGTCTAGCTCTGCAGTGCTACTAAACGAAATACGTTGCTGCTACATACAGACCATTTGCTTCAAAACTTGCATTTCAACTGCATTTTCCCTCCCGTGGCAGATCACCCTTCTTCCACTGCCTCCCTTCTGAAAAACCAACCCTTTTGGACCAGAGAGACAGAAAAAGCCACAGCAAAGAGCTGGCAGATTAATTTTATTGACATTTCCATTTTCACTGCAATGTGATACCCTCCATCACATGGAAGAGATGACCCTCACTATTTACAGACTGACAGGCCACTTCATTACAACCACCCTGCCCCAAGGCAGAGCAGCTCCTTTCCATCTGCCCAAACACCAGAGCAAGACCCTGAAGTCGCTGCTCTCTTTCTCATGCTCCCTTTTTTTTTTGTTTGTTTGTTTCTGTTAACGATAGAGAAAGGAGAGTCGAATCACAGAAAACTAATCAAAGAGATTATGGAAGCTTTAAATGCTGTAACCAACTGTTCAGCTTTACAAGATGTTGGTTATTCAGAAAACACTTTTTCCATTGCTCTGTCTCCCCCATATATTCCACCCTACTCCTCTCTCTCTCTCTCTCTCTCTCACACACACACACACACACTTTCCACTATGCCAAGGAACTGCTGCAAGGCAAATTCTCACAAACACTAATGGCTTCTGACTGCTCCTTGGCAACCCCAGCATTTTAACCTGGGTGGATATGCTCTCCAAAATACAGACACTGGAGCTATCTCATCAGCTGTTCATGTGACACAGATGGAGAGTGGCTATTAGGAGCCAGGCAATGGGCCTTGGGGATCTGAGGTGCTGTACTGTAGCCTCAGGCAATTTTGAAAAGCAGTACCGGGAGATGGGGGGGGGGAAAATCCCTACTGAAAGTGCAAGTTTGAAGTCAGTCAGTCTGTTTGTCTATCTGTCGGGCGGATAAAGATATCTTTGTCTCTTTATGTAAAAGCTATGTGTGTATGCACAGGATGCGTGAAGCTGTAAAACTTCTGCTCTGCGCCATCCTTTTTTGCACTGCAGAAGCACTGGATCACTCTATATATGGACAAATGCCTGTTTCTCTGCATATACTCTCCTGGTTGTGAGCATCCTCAGCAGGACTCACCTACATGCTAAATCAGTGTTCAGTCATTTTGGGGAGTTTGTTAATATCTTGGTTTTAAAATACTGAAAGCAGCCCAGGAGAGGAAACTTCAGCCGAAGCTTCCACTACCTTCCCACCTCAATCAGTGGTTGAAATGGAAAGAGTCAGTGCTTCCCTAATCTGTTCCACAACCTCATGAAAGGATATCCAAATATCGTATCTTCAAATGATCTCAGAAGATGAATACAGCAAAATTTGTTTGTTCTGGTGAACTATAGGCCAAATCCTGTTAAGCTGTTTTGTCATATCATTAATAGCACTACAACTGCTCACGTTAGTGGATAAGGTTTCTAGTGTCAAGAAATCATAGAAGTAGCCCATAACCGGCTTTTCTGAGATATAACAATTTACTTCTTGGATATGGAAGACCTGATCCTAGTTTGCTGTATCAAAATAAACATGAGTTACTTTAAATGAAGAAAAATAAATTATCAAAGGTAAAATAAGCAGACATGAAAGTCACTCTACTGAAGACTGGATTGAGTACACTTTTAACTGTTGTATGAAGGAATCCAAATTGAAATAATATCTGTTCATATCCTGATTTAGATGGTAATTTGTAAGAAAAGTAAAGTCAACTTCTAACTTCTTTGAAAATTGCAATTATTTAAGCATAGCTAGCCCAGTTTTCTAGTGGGGAAGTAAAGTCTAGATTTTGGCCCATTGACTATCTCTCTTCACATGGCAGCAAAAAAACAAAGTGACTTTCTCCTGCTTTGCACGCTGTTCACTCATTTATTGCTGTGCAAAGAGTATGAGGAATTGCAAAATCCTATCACTGTTCTAGCAAAGTGGAGAATTATTAAGTGGCGCTCTCTTTGTGGAGACGTTAATGACTATGCAGGATTCAAGCCAGTAGAGAATCAGGCATATTACCCAGCTTGTTTAAGATTATATCAATGCTATATAATAGTCTCAATAATCCCTATGAAAGCCAGAGAGAGTTTACAAGAAACTTTGCAAAGTGACCCACACAGGGTTCCTTAGAGACCTTCTCTTCTAGGGGAAGGGTTTGTGGAGAAGGCTGAAGATGCAAGTCTTCTTTACACAGCAGGAAGTTAGGCTTCCACAGTAGCTCTGCACGCAGACACTCTGAGGGTTTCTTCCCACAAGATGAATTATTTTGCATTGAAAGCAAAGGAGACTACCTCTTAATTAAAAAATACTGAATAAGTAGTTAGAGCTAGGTTTTCATTGCACCATAATTTCAAACTCGACTTGCTGCAAACTGACTTCCTTGGACAAATTAACTTGCTGACACCGATGTTCACACAGCTAAGGTCTCTTCAGGAAGCAGAGTCCAGTCCTACAGAAGGCCAGTCCAACCTTACTGTCCCAATGAATTTCTCTTTGACAGTCCTCCACACTATCTGTATTGTCTCAGCCCTAGTTATTTTTTGTGTTCCTCAGAGTGAAGACTCAGAAAGAGATGAAGCCAGTGCTGCTTAGAAACTGCTCATCTAGCCTTTTCACCACTTGTGAACAGGATGAATGACAGATTCCCAAGCTACGCGAAATGATAACTGAAAAGATTAACTCAGTCAGGCCAAAGCACAGAAGCCTGGTAACAGCCCAGATCCAAACTCTAGAAACAGTTTATATTACCATCATAGCAAGCAGAGCAGTAAGAAAAGTGATTTCTGGAAAAATACAATTCAGGACCAGGTGTTTGAGTTTCTTCACCATCAGAGGACCCTTATAGCTTTATTGTTTTTCATGCTAAAGGAAAAAAGAGAAGAGCAGGGGTATCTAAGGTGGTGGGAAAGACATTTTTCTAAAAATAGTGCAAGCAATATGAAAACCAAGTTAAAAGATTCTGAAAAGGAAAGCTGTGGTGCACTGTGCTGATCTTAGGTAAACTACTCTACAATCTTTCAGTCCAGTATTTTGATGGAGTAGAATACGTAAATGTAAATGCAAAACAAAGAGGAGAATCTGCATGCAGCTTATATTCACAATTTGCAATTATTTGTTTGTACTTATAACATGTCCATCTGGACACGTAAGTATTGTAAACCATTATTAATATGGATGTTCAACTCAGTAATGTGAGCCACATCACCACCAGAGAAAAATCTTAAAAATCTGCTTAATTATCGTTGCCAAAAAGCTGGAAAGAGAAGTGTTTGAATATGTTTTTAAGATAAGACAGTTTGTGCTGTTGGGAGGACTAATAGATAGAGAGGGTCAATTCCAGAATCAAAGACCCTTCAGGAGGGGTCTTTCTTATCTCCACTCCACCCTGTTAAAAGTAGTAGGCTTTTAGCCTTACAGATTCAGCAGACTACAGCTCTGGGGCTTTGAAAACCACAAACAGTTCAAGCGGGCATCCCAGCTTAGACCTGCACCACCACCAGCAGTGCTCTGCCAGTACATGTGCTGGTTTTGATGAATTACTTGACTGTAGGAGGAAAGGAGACATCAGAAGCTGTTTTGGCCTGACACAGGCATCCTGGATTGACCTGCATGCTCAGCCACCACTAGTCTCATCCTGGAACAGGGTGTCCTC